TGAGAAACTCACTGTCAGAGGAATATTGGAGGTGGGCATATTTCTATATTTCTTTGCTGTCCAAAGCCTGCTGTCAGAGAGGTCTTTCAATGGTGCCCAGTGTTTTTACTCATCTAATACCAGCAGAAGGCTATTTCAGTTTGTAACTTGAGTTAATTGCTTACTTTAAGTTCTCAATTGCTATTTTCATGCACAGATATGCATATTGTAGTCTACATTGTGTACACACTGGGCTGGCATTGCCAATCCTCCTGGTTATCTGATTTGCTCCTGGAATGGGAGAAATTTCCCAGCCGCTAAAGCTGTAAAAGCCAGGGGATCCTTATCCTTTGCATTTCTCATGACCATAGTGGCTGTGTGATCCATTGTATCACTGGCTTTTTGTCGCTCTGTCTTAGCCACACCACCACAATCTCAGTACAGGAGAGCTGCTTGAACTTAAGGGTTATTGTAAACTGGCCAGTCCACTAGCAAACAACCTGTCTGGGATCAAAAACAGAAATTGCTGGAAAAGCTCAGCAGGTCTGGCAGCATCTGTGGAGAGAAATCAGAGTTAATGCTTCGAGTCTGGTGACCCTTCCGCAGAAGCAGACCCGAAATGTTACCTCTGATTACTCTCTGCTGCCAGACCTGTTGAGCTTTTCCAGCAATTTCGGTTTTAGCTTCTAATTCACAGCCTCTGCAGTTATTTCGATTTTTATCTGGAATCTAGGAGAACAGATAATGAGACTGACTTGTTTTCAGAGCGAAATTAAGAGTCAACCACATTCCTTTGAGTGTGAAATCACTAGCACAGACCCAAAAAAACCCAACTTTTTTTAAGGACAATCAATGATGTCAGTATTGTCAAGACCAGCTTTTAATTGATTTGAACCAGTGCCCCCAGATGATTAACCTGGATATCTATACGATTAATCCAGTTACATTACCACCACACCACTGCCTTTCCATCCTTTCATTTGTAGGGTTACTACTAGTTACATTTCAGATATTGGGGTATTACCAGCTACATGTAGATTAACGGATAGTTATTGTATGACTGTTGACTGTGAGGGGATTCTGAGTGTTAGCAGTATATTTCTAGCTCCTGAGCCAGTGCAAATGTCCCCCTCCCATCATTGGTTGCCCTGTTCCCCACCTTTGCTTTCCTTGTTTCATAGCTCAACAGGAAAAATATTTTGAAACTTCTCACAAAACAGCACCTGGCATGAAAAATGATAATCATCTATATTTACACCAGCATTTGTACAGTAAACTGAATATCCTTAACAAATGTTACATGATCAATTATCACATGATCAAACCTGCAGAAATCCATGCTAAGCCCATTTGTAGCAGATGGCGAACCCTAAAGGGATGGTAACATGCCTTTTGGGAGAACACTTATTCAGAAGATTTCTGTGGGCCCATAGGCAGCCTTTAGGTTGTGGAAGTGGAGGCACTCAGAAGGGTGGCAGCGACTCATGGCATTGCTGCAGGAGCAACGCTCCAAGCCCTCACAAGGCGATACATTTAAGTTGTACCTGTTCTTCAGCTTCCTATGGCTCCTTTGAGGAGTGCTGGCTCTTACTGGAACTGCTTGAAACTTATGCAGTGCAACCTCAGGCTGACCGAATTGGGAAAGGGGAATTATTAAACTCTTTGATTATGTTATTTGCTATTACAAGCTGATTATAGATCTTATGGGACGGAACAAATGAGGATCTGATGTGTTTTTGATGCAGTTAATGGAATGTCAGATTTCTAAATTTGCTGTTTGTGCCTTCACATCTCACCCGGGTAATGAGTGCAATAAGGTCCCATTTCATCCTCCCTAATTCCATGGATCTGCCACTTCTGCATGTGTAGTTATACATTAAACTTGCATTTTTAATACTAATTGCATGGTTTATTTAGAAATATACATAAATTAGGTATAATAGTTAGGATTAATTATTAATGTTAAATTACAAGGAGGAATGTTAGAAGTGGGAATCTTACCATTTATGCCCTGTTTAAAAATGTATTTTGGACAAAATTATTGTGTCTGATTTATTATTTTTGAAAATGAACATTTCTGCATAGCATATTTTAATGATAGGTTCAGAGAGTTGATAAATCTAACAATTTAAAGAACCTGAGTTAATGTTTCTGTTGAGATGGTAAGATATCTGAAATACTGTGAGTTAATGGTTTATAGGGTTTTAATATCAAATTCCTTTCTCTACTGTTTAACATACTAACTGTACTTGGTGCTTTTATTCTTTCTTTTTGTGACCACACTGAGGATTCCTGATGAATTAATTTCCCTGTTTTATTTATGACGTTGTTTTGAAAATTGGAGCTTTTTTTTTCCAATCCAAATTACAAGATAAAGTCTGGTGCTCAGATGTCTGCAAGGCACATCAATCAGTAAGTTTGTCAAAATATAGAATTCCTTTTTTCAGTGCTAGTTAAAGGTATTTACTAATGAACTTATTCCGAGATGTTTTTACACTCCTGCAGAAGGAGTGGGAATTGAAGCTGGATCTCTTGGCTCAAGAGGTCGGCACCCTACCACTGCACCCTTTGGTGCTGGTTAAAGAGTTCACATTTCACCATCTGCTGTAGTGGTATTTGAATATTAATTTGGGGTTTCAAATTAGTAGCCCAGTAACATTACCACTTGGCACCACCTTTCCTCAGTGCTAGTTAAATGGTGCATGGTTAAGGTTGTAACATGTATGAGATCTAGATTAAATGTGAATGTTTTCTCTTAAACTTACTCTATTGAGAGTTCTTTGGTCTGAATTAAACACTAGGTACCTTTCGATATTTTTTGACTTGTTGAATGAATTATCAGATTCTATTGGTTGTAATATGAATCATGTCTGTCATTGCATCAATCAGTCTATAAAACATGTTAAATTTAATAGTCTTTCAAATTATTCAACTTGAGCAAGAAAAGCATTTTAATAAGCATTTTTTAACCCTCTGTAGACAAAGCCTCTTTTTTTTAATATCAATAAATGTGGAGCAGGAGAAGCACAGCATGTCAGACAGCATCTTGGAACCTGTCTGACCTGCTGTGCTTTTCCAGCTCCACATTTATTGACACTGGTTTCCAACAGCTGCACTTTTTTTTTGATGTTTTGGAGCATTTAACATGGAGTTTTTTTTTCCTTGGGTGGTTGTTCTGGCTGCTCAGAGTGGGATTAAGTCCCTCAAGATTCATGGGCTAAGCTGGGCTTTATGAAGTGAACATTTCAAAAGCAGTTCACCATTCATGAGGTTCCAATCATGCAGTCCAGCAGCTGTCCAATTGGCACTATTAAGTCACCAGGAGGAGGTGGGGAGGCAGTAGCAATGCCAGGAGGTGCCGTTCACAGCTCCACCCTAGCCCAGGGTCTCCTGGCGAGCAAGGAACAGATCCCCGGGCTGGCTTCCCCAGCCTGGACTCCCAGTCTGGGCCAAGGCTCCAGACCTGCATCTAGGCCCGGGTGCTTGAAGGAGTAGAAAGGCGGTCTCGGCCCAGCGTGGTGGTCTCCCTGTGTGACAGCCTGCCGGCTTGGAAGCCTTCTTTGACTTCGGTGTCCAGGTATTCCAGCGGCCTAACAATCAGTCTTGTCCAGGAATGGCGGTCTCGGCTCAGCATGGCAGTTTTCTTTGGTGGAGGCTTCTGGCCCAGTATTCCAGCGGCCCAGTGTGGCATTCTCGTCCTGGCCTGATGGTCTTGTCTCGGCTGCATCTTCAGAGTATTCCATCATTCCTAAGTCGCCTTTCCTGAAGCCCAACAGCCATTAACTGAACTGTGATGAACTTTGTCTTAATTTTACTTTTTTTATTATTATATACAACTTCTGTCATTGATGTAGGTGCCATGGGAGGTGACTTTTCACTGCATTTTTCGTGGAAAGTACAAGTGACAATAAATTTCTATTCTATTCTATTCTGTCCATCTTCACAATGATGCCTAAAGGATCTTTCATGTCCACCATCTGGTCTGAACGGATAGGCCCTGAGTTTAATATCTCATCCATAAGCTGGGCACCTCTGACAGGTGCAGAGCTCTTTTTGCAATGCACTGGGATGTCAGCATGGATTGTTGTGGTCAAGTCCTGGAGTGGGACTTTACCTGTCATGGCTAATAAGATCAAATGTCAGCTTTACCCCACAGTAGAAATCTTGTCAATGAAATATGATGAGATGGTAAGAACTGCCGATGCTGGAGTCAGAGATAATATAGACCCTTCCCGACCCAAAACGTCAGCTTTCCTGCTCCTCTGATGCTGCCTGACCTGCTGTGTTCCTCCAGCTCCACACTGTTTTATCTAATGAGATATGATGTTCTGTGTTTACGCCCCATTGCAGAACTTGAATGTGTAATTTCAAGTCACGCTTCAGTGCAGTATGGAAGGAATGCCCCATTTTTGAAGGTGCCATCTTTCATTAAATGTTAAACCAGTGTATTGTCTGTCACTTCAGCTATACGTAAAAGATGCCATGATGCTGTTTTGCGAAGAACACAAAGTTCTTTAGTTCAGTGTTCTAATTTAACAGTATCTTCTTCAACAAGGGTCCCCAGCACAGATTAACTGGTCATTCCTCTCATTGCTGTTTGTGGACTCTTCTGTGCACAAATTAGCCACTCCATTTAAGCCTCAAACCAACAGTGACTACAGTTCAGAAGTAAGCATTGACTGAGAAATGCCTTGGGATGTCCTGGCAAAGTTAAAGCACCTATATAAACGTGAGTTCTACCTGAAGTCAAATGAATTTTGGCACAATCTCTTACTGTAAAATTGCCTGGGACCCCATGGAAGTGGCACTAAATTCACATTCTTGTTCAGCAGTACCTGAGTAATACCTGTCGAATCTAGTTAAAATTTCATTTCAATTTAATGAGATGCAAGCACTTGCTGTATAAGTCATTCATTCTGCAACACTGTTACCTATTTGGATGATCAGAAAATTTTGTCTGTTTTTAACCAATTGGAAATATTTCCATACAATGACAGCATGCATCTTTCTCTGTTTTACAGGAGTACAAGCACAAACTGGCCAAGGTCACACAAGTGCGAAAAGAGCTCAAGTCCCACATCCAGAGCTTACCAGATCTTTCTCAGCTTCCAAATGTGACCGGTGGCTTGGCCCCATTGCCCTCTGCAGGGGATCTCTTCTCCACTGATTGATCTGGTGGACTGTTCTGCTGAAAAGAGACTTGTTAAAAGGACAGGAAGGAAGGAGTGCACAATTTACAGAGCCCCTCCCTACCCCCTACATTGTTTTAAAAGGTCAGAAGCTTACTTTTGCTGTAGTGATGCAGGGTTTCAGTGCTAGCAGATGTGAACTAAACTAAGGCACTTAAAAAGAAAGATATCTACTTTTTGCATACAGGAGACAGACCATTTACCTGTATACTGTTTTTCCCAGTTTGCAGCCGTTTAATTGAGAGTCGTTAGACGTCAGAGAATTGTCTTTGAAAACAATTGCAGTATTTAAGTCATTTGAAAGACTTGTGTTTGATTAGGATCAGTGGGGCCATATTGTTAATACAGAGGGTAGGCTGGTTAGCATGTAGATACCCTGAAAGCATGGCTAGCTAGAAAGTTGCTAGTAGTTAACAGTCACCATTGACATTTGTAGCTTATTTCATAGAAACAGCAGCCAAGTATGAACAGAAATAAACATTAAGTAGCTGTGAGACATTGTTAATGAATGTGTTTTTTCACGTGACATTCACCTCGCAGCGATTGGCCACCATATTATCAAATTTTTTAAAAAGTACAGAAATTAAGTTTGGATTCCACTAGTTGACACCTGAACCAAGTACAGGAGCTGTGCTAAGCAAATGCAGAGCAACAATGTAGACATCAGTAAAAGGCATGCACCATCCTGAACACAATACCACTAAGTGTAACAAAGCCCCTGCACTGCATGCTGCTTTCTGAATTTAGTTGGAACGGGTGAGCTTTGCTGCTATATATCAAATTTAAAAATAGTCAATCGCTAGTGGACAGTGGAACATCAACACCACATCTGACTTTTATTCAATTTCATGAAACAGAATTTCAGCTAACAAAGCCAGTGTGTTGAATGAAGCCTTAATTTGCTCCTTTCCAATTGGTGATTTAAACAAATGTAATGAAGTTGCATTCTTAAAAGTTGCTTTTATTTTCTTTTTTTTGAATGTGATCACTATACGAGAGAAGAAAATTCAGAAGGAACACGACTAGTGACGTTTAAATGTGATATTATGAGCCCTAAGTAGTATTGTAATGAATGTGTATGACATTGGCAGTTTGTTTTTCTTTTTTGTTTACTTAAAGGATAATGACACTGGCCGGGAATATAAATGACTTTCAGTATAAATTACTCAGCCCAGAAAGATTGTTTGCAAAATATCTTCCCACCTGAGAGGAAAGATTTCTGTTTTACTGGTCAGGTAGCAACCTTTTGTTGGGCTCCCAGTTGGAATGTACTTGCTCACATTACATATACAGCTTCTGTTAAATGGGGTGAGTCTGGAGCCTGAAATTAGGAACATTGATGATGAAATTTCAGATTTAAAAAGTACTCCAGAACTGAAAGAGCGATCTATCTGAGGCAAGTACTTTAAATTGAAAGCATCTCCTCACATGTAGTTGGGTCTTGAAATTGCACTGTGGGATAATAAATGAATGCATAATATGTTGAAATTTCCTGTTGCTATTATTGAAGGTGTAAAGTGTCCAGCTGGATTGTGATGAGAGGAAATTCATTGTAATGTTCACTATAATCCCACATAGTACTGTCATTCATTACCCTCTAAACTATCACACACAATTACCTTTCAATCTGTAAGATATTTGTATATATGCACATTAGATAATTATAGTCTTTACAAATTCAGCTACTTTGTGTTATAAACATCTGTTACAGGTCCTGTAAAAATTGTGCTTAAACCTTCTGTAAGCTGAATTTTTTTGCATAGCTCAAATATATAGGTATGTTGTGAAGTGTAATTCTTCAGACTTTTCTAATCTGATTTATTTCTGATGGAAGCATAAACAAAGTGTGTATGTGTTTACCTTTCAATCAAGAAATGTGCACGTGAAGAAATCTCTAGCAGAAAAGGAGACAAAAATGCATAAAAGAATGCTAACAAGACCAGCTGCCAGAAACAAGGTTGCTACAGTTCAAATATCTTGCCCTGGCGAAGAAGGAGAAACAGTTACATATGCCTGTTGGATGGGCTAGCCATTTGGTTCCAGTATTTTGTCTCTTACATTTCATTAAGGTTTCTCTACTAGTGCATTTCCATACATTTCAAACTGTTCTGCGATGTATAATATTTATAGAATGGTAGAACTACAAATGATTTTATTTATAGTATTCTATGAATAAACTTTTAAAATAAAAGAGTATCTTACAAGGTAAACTTCCAAAATACCTAAGTGATGTTCTGGAATAACTTTCTTTATTGAAGAGCAAACATTTAAAAGAAATATATACAAGTGCTCTGGCATATGAAAACAAATATATTTGGAAAATTTCATTTTTGGTTTATAACAAAACTTAAAGTGCTTAATGTGAAAACATTTACACTGATTATTAGTAAATTAGTGGCAATTTCTTGTGTCTGAGACAGAATGGGATTGGGGGCCTGGCCGTGCCCTTTTGATCCTTTTTAAATATGACTGTGGAAGACCTTAAAGGTACTTGTATGTTTTTAAATGGAATATTTGGTTTAATTTCTTTTTGCGTGGCATGGCTGAAGTGTTGGCCTTTAAGAACCAGAATTGGCTTAATTCATTCAGAGATAGTAGGAACTGCAGATGCTGGAGAATCTGAGACAACAAGGTGCAGGGCTGGATGAACACAGCAGGCCAAGCAGCATCATAGGAGCATATGATGCTGCTTGGCCTGCTGTGTTCATCCAGC